GCCACATTGGTGAAACTCCGTTCCCTCTACTAAAATCAAACAATTAGGCTGGTGCCGCGGGGCTTTCGGATGCCTGTAATCCCAGCACTTTGGAGGCTGAGGCAGAGGTATCATGAGAATCAGGAGGATCGCAACATCCTGAGCTTAACACAGTGAAAACTCACCCCCCTCTCTACTATAATACAAAAAAGAAAAAAAAAGAAGGAAACTTAGCCGGGTGTGGGGGTGGGTGCCTTGTCGCCAAGGCCTACTCCGTGGGCTGAGGCAGGATGAGGTGTGAGCGGGAACGCCTTGGCAGTCCAAAGGATCGCGCCACTGCACTCCAGCATGGCGGACAGGCAGACTCCATTCTCAAAACAATCAACGAATAAAGAAAAACAATAATAGTGGTAAGTCAATGGTTTTAGCGGTTTTTGTTTTTGTTTTTTTTGGTTTTTTGCAGAGTTCTTGCTCTGTGGCAGGGCTGGAGTGCCAGTGGTGGTGGATGTAGCTCACTGCCAAACCTCGCCTCCCAGGTTCAAAAGATTCTCCTGGCCGGGCGCGGTGGCCTCACGCCTGTAATCCAGCACTTGGGGATTGCCCGAGGCGGGGCGTGATCACAAGGTTCAGAGATCGGAGACCACAGGTGAAAACCTGTCTCTACTAAAAAATACCAAAAACTTAGCCGGGGCGCGGGTGGGCGGGCGCCTGTGTTCCAGCTACGTCAGGAGGCTGCAGGCGAGGGAATGGCGTGAACCCAGGAGGCGGAGCTTGGCAGTGAGGCCGGAGATCGCCCCGGGCACTGGCACTCCACCTGGGGTGACAGCGTTGAGACTCTGTCTCAAAAAAAAAACAAAAAAAAAAGATTTCTCCTGCCTCAGCCTCCTGAGTAGGCTGGGCTACAGGGGGTGCATCCCACGTTTCCCCGCGCTAATTTTTGTGTTTTTTTAGTAGGACTGGGGGTTTTCACATGGTTGGCCAGGATGGTCTTAAGATTCTCTTGGACCTCGCTTGATCCGCCTGGCCCCTCGAGCCTCCCAGTGCTGGGGATCACGGCGGTGAGCCACTGCACCTGGTGGTTTTTTGTGTAGAGTTGTGCACACCCATAACCCCTACTTTTCTTCTGAGCCTCCATCAGCCATCACTATTTCCATCTTCCTTCCTTCCCAGCCCCTCGGCCACCCAGCCATCCCTTTCCCATCTCTGTGGATTGGGCCTGTCTGGGGACATCTTTCATAGTTAGAAATGGTCACACTGAAGTGTAGGTGGGGGGATTGGATTAAGCCAGGAATTTGAGGACCAGCCTGGGCAACCAAAAAGTGAGACCTTCATCGTATATAAACTTTAAGATAAATTAAAATAAAAGACTGGGCTGCGGTGGCTCACACCATGTAATCTCAGTACTTTGGAAGCCAAGGTGGGCGATCACCTAAGGTGGGGGTTTTTAGACAGCCTGACAACATGAGGAAGACTAAATCTACTAAAATACAAATTAGGCCTGGGGCATGATGGTGACTATTCCTGAATTTCCCGCTACTCAGAGGGCTGAGGCAGGAGAATTCGCTGAATGCCGAGAGGCAAGAGTTGGCGGGTGGCCAAGATGTGCCATTGTACTCCAGCCTGGGGCAACAAGAGCGAAACCCGTCTGAAATCAAAAATAAACTAATTAAAATTAAAATGGTTTCTCAAGAATGCAAGTGGCTCCAAAGGACCAGGGCTTCTTAAACTAGTTTTTGATCATCAAAGAAATTGTTGGAGAGAAAAAGGAAGAGGCAGGAGGGAAGAGAAGGACAAGAAGAAGCAGAAGAGAAGAAAGGAAGGAAGGAAGGAAAGAAGAGAGAAAAAAAAGTAAAAAGGAAGAAAAAGAAGAAGGAAGGAGAAGAAAGGAAGAAGAAAAGGAGAGGAAAGGAAAAAAGGAAAGGACAACGGCTAAAGAGAAAGAGAATGAAGGAAGGAAGGAGAGAGAAGAAAAAAAAGAAAAAGGAGAAAAAAGGAAAGGAGAAGGAAGAAAGAAGGAAGAACGGATGGCAGGGAAAAAAAACTAGCCGGGCGTGGTGGCGGGCGCCTGTAGTCCCAGCTACTCGGGAGGCTGAGGCAGGAGAATTGCTTGAACTCGGGAGGCGGAGGTTGCAGTGAGCTGAGATCACGCCACTGCGCTCCAGCCTGGGCGACACAGGGAGACTCCATCTTTAAAAAAACAAAACAAAACGAAATAAACAGGCGAACTTTGTGGTATGTAAACTGCATCTCAATAAAGCTCTTGAGACAGGAAAAGGGCGCTCTGCTCTTCCTGCCTTCCCAGGCATCAGCGGAGGGGAAAAGGTGACCTCCAGTACCGCCCCCGAGGCGGGAGGACCCGCTTTGGCTGGAAGTGGAGGCGCCGTGGCGGCCCCTCTGCGTCCTGGCAACCTAGGTGAGATTCCTGCAGCCAACATCACCGAGTGCTGGTGCACCACCAGGCCCCCTTAGGTGGCCAGCGACTTTGTGCTCCCGACAGCCACGTGGGTGGCATGTCCCCTGGGTGGCGTGTCCCGCTTTTCAGAAAGACGAGCCTCGGATGCTTTTCTACCCAGCCAGTGGAGCCTAGACTCGAACTCGCTCTCGTCCTAGTGCGTCCAGGCTCGGGTTCGACTGAAAGGCTGAGATCTGATTCTCAAGGGCACGGTCCCTTTAAGAAGGCGCGGAGCCCCGCGATGAGCGGCGGGCCGGCGCGAGAGGAGGCCGGAAGCGCGTGTGACGTGATCGGGGACGGGGCGGTGCTCCGGCCGGAAGCGGAGGTGGCTGCATCGCCGACACTCGGGGCTCGGGTTCCGAGCCCAGGTAGGTGGGGAGAGGGTGGCGACTGGGGTTACCGCGGGGAAACTGAGGCAGAGGTTGAACCAGACCCTGAAGCCTTGGCCACCATGTTGTTGGGCGGAGGGAGGGTCAGGGCCCGGCGAGAACCCAGAGGGGCGGGACAGGGCGGGCTTCCTTGGGAGCGGGGCCGCGACGGGTGCGTACGAGTTCGCGGGGCGGGAGGAGCGGCCCGGGCAAAGGCGGAGAGGTGGACGCCCGGGTCAGCGCTCCCTTCCCCTCCTGCAGAGATGGGCTCCAAGACCAAGAAGCGCGTGCTGCTGCCCACCCGCCCAGCGCCCCCCACGGTGGAGCAGATCCTGGAGGATGTGCGAGGGGCGCCGGCAGAGGACCCAGTGTTCACCACCCTGGCCCCGGAAGGTAGGGGGAGACCTGTCCCGGGGAAAGGCGGACCTGAGACCCCGGCAGCAAGGGGGACGGGAGAGAAGCACACCCCTAACTCCTGACCCCACGCCCTGGGAATCCCAGTAACGTGGGCACGATCCATATCCTCTCCGGGCCTCCCTCTCCGCCTCTGTAGAGTGGGACCGATTTTCAGAGGGTTCTTCAGGCAGGGGAGGAGGCCGGGCCTTGTGGTTCAGGCCTGTAAGCCCAGCACTTTCGGAGGACGAGGCGGGAGGATCGCTTGAGCCCAGGAGTTCGAGACCAGCCTG